GGCAAAGAGAATCGAAGTTAGTAGGCATCATTCATGTATACGCTTGCAATTAGATTAGGTCCCATTACAAATAACCAACTAGCTAGGTTAGGCTTTGGGTGCTGCTCGGTTTCGCACAGCAGAAGTGAATAGAAGGGGCGGGCCAAATAGCTTAGGTTAGGCTTTGGTTGCTGCTCGGTTTCGCACAGCAGGAAGGGAAGAGAAGGAGCGGGCATACCATCGTTGCCGGAGACATGGCCGACGAAGACCTGGGAATCTGGCGTAAGCCGGCGGTGTCGGTGGCGGCGGCGGCGGGCGCTGAGAGAGAGAGGGAGAGAGAGAGCACGCGCGGGGAGAACGCCCAGTGGGGAGCTGTTCGGCCGAGGAGAGCGCAACCGCACGGGCCTTCTGCTGGACTGGACATGGGCCGTTAATTGTTCAAACATTTTTTTTTCAGATTTTTATTATTTCTTTCCTTCTCCTCTTTTTTAGTAGTTTTTATTAATCCTATATAATTTTTATTTACTCTTTCCCTAAAAACGATGGGTGGCGGAATATTTTTTGTTTTAAATTGTTTATTAGGTGGAATTTTTTCTCATGGATGGATCTTGAAACATTTTATCTTGAATCTGAACCAGGAACATTTTTATCCTAAATATGAACCAGTTGTACCATAAGGCCATAAACCAAAGACACTGTTCTGCTTGATAAAAAAATATTTCAACCTCATTAGAAAAATATTCTCTAAGAAAATATCGTCCAGATGTATCTGAACAGGTTGTTCATACTCCATCAGACAAATTGTCATTCTAGTATCGTACAGATGACTAGATCTAGACCGATACATAAGTAGTTCCGTCCCAGTAACGTCTATACATGGCAGTACTAGTTAACATTGGCCACTCCAGCCAACACTAGTCATTTCGGTGATACCAGGACTAGTATCAAAACTCAAGTAACACCCCATTTCATGTACCCAATTTTATGAAGTTACTGAACCATATATTGTCGAGCATATGAAGTCACTAAGCACAAAGTAGGCAAAAATGATGAAGTCGTGGAGACGGTGGAGTGATTGGACTGGCATGTCTTCATTTGGTTCACCCTTTAAAATTGCAAGCACTCAAGACTTGATGGGTCAACAATGTAAATGCTAGAGTCAGAGAAATGGGAAAAAGAATAAGGGTGCATTTGGTAGGGTTCAGATTCTCGTAGAAACGTTTCGAATCCAGATTCTCTCCAGAGATGTTTCTGGTGATGAATCAGAATCATTTCGTGAACTGTTTGGCTGGTAAGCTGGATTCTGATTCAAAAGAATATTTTTTCATAAAAAATTATATAAAAAAATACTATTCAAAAAATTTCGGAACTTTTTTGGGGCAAAGAATAACTTAAATACAACCTAATTTAACTTATTTTGCTTAAAAAAACTAAATAAAAAATTATGGTTGCTAATACAAAAGGGAGACAAGAATCAGAATCATGCGAAACCTAACAGGTGTTTCTCCTCGCTAGGCATAAAAATGAGAAACGTTTCTAGTGATTCTCGAGTGAAACGTTTCTCAACTTAACCCGTTTAATAGTGATTCTACCGATTCTCGCCAGAATGTGAAACATTTTTTGTTGCAAAACGGGGCCTAAATGAACCAAGCACATGGGCCAAGAGGTCAAAACCCCTTCTACAACATGTGATCTGACTAGAAACAACATGATCGGTGTTACAGGATGATCCGAGCAATCAACAAGCTAAGGCAACGAATCCGATAGTCTGAGCAGCCTCAAATAAGACAGTCGAGGTCACACTTGTTCCATCAGATTAATCGGCATTGCTACCAACTTAAAACTTAAGTAAACAATTATGAGCATGAAGATCCCAACCTAGATGGCATAAGTGGCATCAATCGTGCAGCACCACTCCACTCCATCCTTGCTTACAAATACCGCAGCCCCAGCTATGAAATGACATATGGCGACTATAGATATCCCATAGGGCCACCATTCTGACACAAAATAAAACAAAACAGATGCTCCAATATATTGTTTTGGCACATGAAATAAAGACACGAGATGCTTTGCCTTCAAATAAATATTAGACAAGCGTTGCATCAGTTCAATAGCTAGTTTGTGAGGTCATCCTTCAGCAACAAATTGTCCATGAATAGGGGCAATTGATTACAGGAAATTCAAGTACAATGTTTTGAGGGTATTTTCTTCGAATGTATCACTTCTCCTCGAGGTTACTTGTCTTCCTTTCTGCTGGAGGCAGCATAGTTAGTTGCAAAGTTACTGAGACCCAGCTTAAACATGTCAAGGTTCACCCCGTTCTCTACTAAAACACTCGTCACCCCCAAATTTGATACCTGAAAACAAGAGATGAATATATTTATCAGTCAAGGTGACGTGAAGCCAGGAGTGTCATAAAAGTAACTTCTATGTGAGCATTACATGCAATTGAGATGGACATGTATGCAAGCGCAATTACAATATGACCACACCTACAAACTTATGCCTTATAGAGGAGTGCTGTGTTTTGGGGAACCAAGGTGTATGCAAGAGCCCAAATAGCCTATACCTAAACGTATGTAGTTATTTTAGTGTGTTTCTACGATAATCAAGCCATTTGATCCACATAAACCCAAAATATTGTTTTTAATCATATAGTGCAGAGAAGAACGAGCAGACCCACTAACATATAATTCAGCTCACTCTTACGTTTTTGTTCTATGAAGTAAGCTACGCATCCCTTCCAATCATGAATACTTGAGCATGGAATCAATTAGCACGTCTAAATATCCATAGCCTCCAGCAATATAACAGAAAGTCGCTGAAAATATATTCTAAATTTTGGATATAGCTAGAATGAGGCGAGCACAATGCGAATAAGTGATTACCGGATCAATATTCCTGTCCTCGTCATCAAAGAAAAGCATGGATTTGTAGGGAATTCCAGTTTTCCTCTGGATCTTTTGGAAATGCTCAGTCTTGTGAGTCCAGCTGGAGAATATTTCCTTCATACAATGACCAAGAGAAAATAATATAGTACTCAGCATTCTGTTCTTACACCAGAAAAGGCATCTGATCCAGAAAAAAAAAACTTGAGCAAGGAACACAGAATCGTGTGGCGTGCAGGATCATTAAAGGAACATATCATTGGGCATGGAATTTTTTGATAGTTACATAACCGAATTTACTGTACCATAGGCCACTATCTTAGAGCAACTCCAGGAGTTTCCTAAATGAACTCGTTACTTAGATTTTCTGGCAAAAAGAGAAAAAAGATCCTTACAACAGTTTGGTAAAACTACTCCTTAAAAGTAAGAACTTGGTAAATTGCCCCTCCAACTCATAAGTTTCCACAGTTGATATCCGCTCCCTGTGCGGCGTTTTTCTCAGGAGATCAGAATAAACTGGACGCATAAGTAAATTAAGAAAATAAAGGATTCCTGGGTAGAAAGTGGTAAGAGACAAAGAAACAATTCAAAAAGGTTTGGTTGGTTAAAAATAGTTCGGGGTTCTCAATGCAAAATCATTTAGGAAGCTAGTATAGGAAACTATTGGAGAGGGAAATAAATTAAGGTTGCTACTTCTTTTGTTAACTGGCTAAACTTATTGGTTTATCAAGTTAATTATAGGAAACACCTGGAGTTGCTCCTAGAATATTACAGCAATATGTGCACTTTTTGAGGAAGATAGGACTACAGTATAGTAGTACTAGTTAAGATGGACTGAGATTTGCAAATTCTAGAATTGGACGACTGAGATTTCATTATTTTCTTTGTGGCCAATTAACAAAAAATATTTTGATATAAGTTGTTCATTACCAATGTGCTCTTTGAAACTAAGCCAGTAACCCTCAAAAACCTACACAAGTAACGCATTCGCATTGCTCTTTGCTTGCATATAGCGGTATAGCCACATAAGGGCCATTTCCAGTTTCATATGTTATCGATCGCCCTGTTTTCTAAGAAGAATTTGCCTGAACTATGGCGCACCAAGGAATTCTTATATGCAGAAAGGGAAACAACAACTCACACGAAAATTAGGCCCGGCTGGCTGAGGAAGGAATAAGGATTCTTACTTGGGCGACGAACATGGACTGGAGCTCCAACTTGTCGAGGAACACCTTGGCTATGTCCGGGGTGGGCGAGCGAGACGCAATCGCCATGTCGATCCCCTTCTCCTTGAGGGCGTACATGATGCCCCTGGCATGCCTGAAAAGGCTCGGCGAATCCCTCTTGGACCGGCACTCACTGTCGGAAATCAGAAACCAGTCAATCGAACAAACAAGGAACACCTCGCGGCGGTCATCAAATTGGAGACTTCTCACCAGCGAAGCTGGGTCGGGAGAACTGAGAAGAGAGGGCGGGACGAAGGAGGAAGGAGACGGACCAGTAGAAGGGCCAGAGGGTGTAGTCGAGGTCGAAGACGACGAGGCGGGGAAGCACCTGGAAGAGGCCCAGGATCTGCAGCGCCTCCGCCTTCACCCGCTCGTCGCCCATCTCCGGTCTCTTCTCCTCGTTGCAGCGACGGCCACTCGCCGGCGGAAGGAGCGACTAGAGGTGAGCCGAGAGCCGGAGACGGGGCCCTGCGGTGCGGAGACGGCGGAAGGAGCTCGGTTCAACACGGTAAGCGTGATAAAGAGTCGGAGAAACAGACAGGGTCGGCCAGAGCGAAACGCGTGATGAAGATGAACTGCTCCAAGACCTTACTGGGCCTAGAACAGGCCAGACGGTTGGGCTGGGCCGGATCCACGCCACGTAGAAAGACCGACTCCGTTCGCTTCTCCCTTCCCCCACCGCAAAACCATCACAACCTCCCCGGCGCTCGCCGCTGCCATCCGTCGCCGCGCGCTTTTCCGCCGGTCGCCGCCGCTATTCGCGCACAAACAGCGCATCCTGCTGTTGTGTCATTCCTTTCCACAGACACCCGCTCTAAGTGGTGGGTGTCCCGCTATACTCGCCGCTTATCGGAACCGAGGGTTCGATCGGCTGTGGTGACTGTGAAGGAGGAGGAGCGCAAAGATGGCTGATTTCCGGACCTCCACCCAACGGGATAGGTGGATCTTCCAGTCGCACGATCTGGTGAGCCCGGGCGCTCAGGATTTGCTTTCCTATGCTTTGTCACGGTCTCGTCGCCTTTCTGACCTTCTGACAATACGGCGCGCGCGCGCGCCCTTATGCTGTGCTTCGCAGATGGAGAGGTGGGCGGCGGCAAACCAGCGGGCTGCTCAGACCCTTGCGCAGGTTGGGTCGCATTGCTTCCCCTGAGTAGCCGTATCTACTTGATCAGCAGTTTTGATTAGCTGATGCCGAGTTTACTCATCGTTCCTGTCGTGCTCTTTGTGAAGTATGGGACGACGCGGCTTAGTGTGGACCTGCTTGATGGCTCGGTCTCCTACCCAGAGCCCGCACCGGATCATGGTATGCAACATCGGTTGGTTTATAACTTACCCGTGCTATGTGTAGCACTCCAAAATATGAAATATGCATCACCGGTTCACTCCAAAGAACTGCGCTTTCATGATTTTTCTTCTGGCGCTTCGTCACGCTAGTGTTGAAATAGTTTTCTTTGGTTCAGTTGAGGGTAGCTCGAGTGTAAAGCCTCTGTCTTACGAAGAGGAGCAATTGACACGGGTGTTTTACGAGCAGAAGATTCAGGAAGTATGCGCTGCATTCAAGTTCCCTCACAAAATCCAGGTAAAGAATCCCCTCTTCCAAGATGGAACCTTTGTGAGCTTATGATTCTGGTTGCTCATGGTTGCTTATTGCTTTGCAGGCTACAGCAATAATATATTTCAAGAGATTCTATTTACAATGGTCTGTAATGGAGCATCACCCAAAGCATATTATGTAAGCAGGGCACTAAGCAGTAATGATAACAATTATGGTTCTATGTTTGTGAATGTAAAGGTTGATTTCTAGTGTACTCATGCTTAGCGAAGTTTTCTTAAGCATATTATGTGAAGAGTGATGCGTGTGTCTTGATGAAAACTATGAGTGTGCCGTGCCTTGTTCTATGCCTATACATTCAAGGTTGATTTCCAGAATGTATTTAGTGTTTTGTCTGCAAATTCAAGCTAACCAACTTTCATATCACAGGTTAACATGTGTATATGCTTCTTGCAAAGTGGAAGAAAACCATGTTTCTGCTGAGGAACTTGGTAAAGGAATTCAGCAGGACCACCAGATCATTCTAAATAATGAGATGATTCTTCTTAAAGTATGCCACTTCCACATTTTATTTTGTTAGTACCTCCAAGCAACCTGAATATGACATTAAGTTTCTTGTTGGCTTCCAGACTTTAGATTTTGATCTCATTGTTTATGCTCCATATCGATCGATTGAAGGATTTATTGATGACCTAGAGGTAAGTTTGTACTTGTTTTGTGCTGCAAATTAACAAGTAGAGTTTCTTGTGTTGCCTTGTTTTAGGAGTTCCATGGCATTCACTGTTATGAATTCTTCACAGTTCAATCTTTCCACTGCACTGTTTATTGTCTAATACTATTGCTTTTTGTATGAAGGATTTCTGCAGGGCAGGTAATGGTCCATTCCAGCGTTTGAAGGTAACATTTGCTGTTTTTGCTTCTTTTTTTTTTGGACGTGTTCCAGTGTGCACAAGCTTAGGTAAACCATGTCTATGTGCAAAATATTTTCTACCAGCCACTTTCTTTGTCGCAGTCTCTTACAAATGCCAGAAATCGATCTAGAAATTGTGAGTGATTATGACACATGTAGTATTGTAATTGCACAGGGTTGATGCTGCTAGGAGGGGTACTAGTACCAAGATTGTAACATTAGTTCACACCTTTAGAATTAGATTAGAAGTTTATAATTTTAGTTAGAATACTACCATGTTAATAATTCTGCATGTGACAAGGGCAAACTTTGAATCATCTTGGTTACAGTGTTTGTATTTCATATTCGGTGATCTCAACACTGATGGAATAGGGCAAATCTACTCAGAAAAATTGAGTTGGGTGCCAAAGATGTACATAGTAGATGAAACACAATTTGCAGGATACTACTCCATCCGTCCCAAAAAAATTGAAGTTTTACAATTTTTCAGACCAATTAGTGGTGCTGGGTAATGACGCATGTGCCTCTAGTTAGTTGAACACTTGCTGCCATGTAGATTTGGTTGCCTTTTTGGTTCCCAAAGGAATTTAATGCACATGCACAATTTAAAACTGAAGGCCTGCGCATTCCCTTGGCATGTTGTATCCCTCCGACGCGAGCTTCGATCAGTAGAGGAGCATAACAGGAAGGGAGGGGTTGAGGGCCTGAATGGCAGGTGGGCATCTCCCTGAAGCCGTGCCAATGGCTACAACCTCCCCCGTGTCCAAACCGGAGGCTGCGGGCGCAGATCGGCCGCTTTGCTTCATGCCCCAACTCAGCCTCCTGCTGCAGCAGCAAACGCCGCACAACAGCATCCGCTCGCTCTGGTGGTTGTCAACACCTCTGCCACCATACTTGCCGCCTGGAAGGGAAGGGAAGGGAAGGGCGTGGAGGGAAAGTGCAAGAGAGAGGAGCGGCGGCTGAGAGGCCGGTGGGAGCCTGTGATGGCTTGTGTATGCTGAGTAGATAAGGCATGCGTTTCTTTTTCCCGATGCCAATTCAGTTCACTAAGTGGGCCCCATTAGGTGGCTAAAGGCTAAAACTGTACTCTTTTGTTTGGGACAAAATCCAAACTCTAAAACTGTAGTTATTTTTGGGACGAATGGAGTATTTATCATGGCTCACTATTGGACATTAATTTATTTTCCCTTCAGTAAGGCACATCAATTGAATATGCGATGGGATCTTGTGATGTTAAGTCACCGAGATTTGGTCACTGAGGTGGAACCTTGGGCACTGGGGTCCATGTGTCAGTGACCAAGTTTCCGGGACTTTGACATCAGAGGAACTGCTTCTATTTGAATATTGGCACATGATTTCATGAGTCATAAGATTGCTATTCTCTGCAGTGAAGATACACCATTTATATATTTTCTAAACATTATACTCCAACCATCATTAGATGAGGAATTGTGAATTTCCAAGCTGGATTAGACACCCTATGTGCTCTCAGTTTAGAAAAAAAATAATTACTACGCCATATTCTTTAAGTTGTAAAGTGTTCATCCTTGCCTCTGATTGGCTTATAGGAGTTGCGCCATGCTGCTATATCCCATGTTGACAAAATGATGTTGACTGATGCACCTCTTCTCTATACTCCTGGGCAGGTAACCTTACACTAACTCTTGTTAGTTGTGGTAACGTTACCATTTTGATGAATTTACTGCTTTGGTTTTGTTTCTGATTGAGAAAGCATCCAACGTGCATACTTCTCAAGTTTAGCTTGCTCAAACTTCAATTTTTCAACTGATCTCATTATATACTTTGTTTCAAATTTTGCAGTTGGCACTAGCTGCTCTTCACAAGTCCAATGATCTTCTCAGGGTCGTCAATTTTGAAAGGTCATGAACATTTGATCTGAATTATTATGAATACCATATATCAGGGTTTTGTGTTTCAATATGGGTTGCTTTCTCTATATTTATTTCATGTTACTAAATTCATTGATTGGTTACAGATACTTGGAAACTATCTTCTCAAGGCAACATTCTGATTGTCCGGTTGAACAGTTTGTTCAGTCGATCAACGCAATCAATTACTTGGTAAGGATTTGGCTGTGGGCGATAAAGTTTATGTACAAGTGGGTTGTGCCAGTATTAATTCCCGATGATATAATATAACCTATCAGTCTATCACTAAGAAAAGTACTGATGTCATGCTTCGGTTGCCTAGCATAAATTTTGTGTTAATCAGGATGGTTAGAAAACTTGATAGATAGTTGAACATGTATAAATTATCAGAAAACTGTTGATGATCTATTTAACAGATATGGTATGATCTCTAAAACCCCATGTTATTTTGGAGTCATGCATGATAAACATCAAGACTAGAGCCAGATGTATCTGCTGATGGTTAAATCATGACAAGTGGAGTTTTTTTTATCACTGCTAGTAAAAGGTAGGACATACATGTGGTCGCTTTTTAAAGAGAATTCACAATGGTAAACTAAAAGGCTCACGAGAGCCAAATACTGAGCACTGAGACTGTGAGAGTGCTAACTCCTAACTCCTATGTAGGCAGCAAGACAAAGCACATCAGTTTTTTTTTCCAAAATTTAATATTCAGTGCCACTATGGTATTGCTGTACTATGCTATATGCTATGGTATCTTGTTATGCATAGGAGGTGTATTTTATCCAAGTAAAATATTTCTGTTTGGCACAAAAATATAGAAGCTCGACTTAAGTTCCATCTAGACCGTGACCCCATGAGGTAGCGAGAAATTTTGTCTTTGCAGTAAAGAGTCCTTGATTTATATTTATTATTCTTAAGATTCCCTTTTGACTTCTGTGCCCCCTAAAAAATGTCTTTAGTGCATACCTAAAATTCATGTGTCATTAATATGGTACAAAATATAGAAGACTCTTCTAGTATGCCAATTCTGCTCTTTATTTTGTAACCATATAGGCACGTCTCTGCTATTCTTTGTTACATACTGTATATCACAATCATTTTGGTAGCTACAGTAACTTTGTCGTTCTCTTTGTATTCTTTGTGCATCTTGCAGGTTGACCAGCTTAATATACCTACTGTTAAGGACATGAGACATGTTGACCGCAAGCTGAAACATTGTTGGGATCCAAGCTCACATGATGAGTAGGCTCTCTCGTTTCTTTCATTCTTTGTGCCAGCATCTTCTATGGTTTATTATAACTTACCATGCTCATTTTTGCGTTCCACGCATCTCTACAGGCATAATAAGAAGAAAGAAAAGAAGTCAAAGCACAAATCAAAAAGAACATCTGCTGATGCCCAACTGTAAGCGCCTTGTACTGCCAGCTCACATATTTGATCATGTTCTATTCAGTTCTTAATTCTGAACACCTTCTCTACAGCAACAGCTAGAAAGCATATGTTCAGAGCAGTGGCTTGGTGTAAGAATGCGGCGGTGATTACTCTTGCTACTCTATCTAGTGTGTTTTTTATTTTGTATTTGTATGCTACTCCCTCCATTCCAAATTGTAAGTTGTTCTGGCTTTTCTAAACTCATAGTTTTGCTACGTACATAGATATACGTCATGTCTAGAGATACATAGAAAAGACTATGTATCTAAAAATACCAGAACGACTTATAATTTGGAATGGAGGGGGTACCACATTATTGAGTGGAGCAGCTTCATTTAATCATTTCATTCAGGTTCTGCAAATGATCGAAACTGAACTCGCATCTAGCACAGCAGCTCAGCTTCTTTCTGCACCGAGACAGATATACCTGAGGCGAAGCAATTTTGTGACGAGGCTATGCGGCTCCTGCCAATGGGTATTGTACCTTTGTTAACGTATTCATTGCTGCAAAGGTATAGTTGCCGCAGGATACAAACTTAAGAGGTGTATAACATACTAACATTGGACGTCTATCTCCATCGTTCGGAGGACTGGAAATTTTATATGGCTGACTTTGTGTCAGACACAATTGAGTTTCTTCGTTGCGGATGTAGAATTATTAAGTTTGGAAGTCAGCCACAATTGAGTTTCTACGTTGCTGATGTAGCATTATAAGTTTGGCGAATCCAAGATGATCTGCCTGTTGTTGTGAATCATTTTTAACTAGCCAGTGATTTTGAGTTATAATTGTATATATCTGTAGAGCTTTGTCATGGCACCAAAGATTATGTATGAAAAGAAAAACTCCTCAGTAACCAAAATGCTAGAAATTGAAAGCGAATTCAGACATCGGTGACGCGCTAACTTGCGTGTTGTCCCGTTCTCGGTCCAGTCAGACAAATCTCCTTGTCTCCAGGCAGGGTAAAAACGCCAGAACGGTAAAAGGTTAACCGCACGAATGCCCGAAAGCTCGAAAAAGCATACTTGTTCATCGTAGAAAGCAGGATACGTACAAGCACCATAGCTCAACAACTGCTCACTTGTTTTCATTTTCTTATCAGCAATAGCAGGTAGAAACGAACCCTCTATACTAGTATAAGCCGGAGAGAGCGTATGTACTAATGTACAAACTTTCTCCACTTGTTGGCAACGTGTTTACAGACCTCAATGTGAGATCTGTATTGCAGTGCTGGGTTATTTTGCCACAAACTTTCAGTTTGGCGTCTGACTGCTTCACTGTGAAGTAAGTTCCTATGGCGAGCAAATATCACCACCATTGCAGTTCGCCGGATCAGCCTGCTGCTGTTCAGTCATCAGCATCGCCGCTTCTTGGAGAGCTGCGTGTAACTCATTGTGCATATTTGACTTCTCCAAGGTAAAACTAGTGCCGTTTATACATGGACTATGTCGTTTTGTTGTCTTCTCTTCAAGTATTTCTTTAACTGCCTGCACTCAGTTGAAATAAGAAAAGGATCAGTAATTCCATAGAAGTGAAACATTTGGTACACCAAATACAAGCCAACAATGTTGAGGTATATATATCCCTAACTAATATTAATTTAGTTCTATTCAACTGTCGAGCAATAAAGGATGTGTAAATAAATAGATAGTAACTATTCAACTGGATGATTTAATCATGCTCTTTTATGGCTGCTATTTCCTTCAACCTCAAAGACACCTGAATAAATGGTGGCTACTGGCTAGATGATTCAGCCCTTAATAATATAGTCAGAAGTCAACATTTGAAAGTTGTCGAGACTCATTTTCAAAAGATCTCATCTCTTCAAATCTTGTCTAACAGACAAATACTACTCCAGCATAAATCATTTGGAAATGTCATCTGAAATCGTGTATTTTCGAGGCTGTAGTCTGTTAAAGTTACGATTTTGCCTCTGATAAATGACACATTTAACAAAAATGGTTGATCAACATGAACAGAATGATTCTTCCCAATCCGAGTGTACAAGGAGCTGAACAAGTCAAATGGTGCAAACCTGCAACATCTTGGGATGGAAGGTGGGCACGCCGACCTGCGATACGGCAGCGGCGCCGAAGAAGTTACCCAGCAGCGCGGCGTCTGTCGCAGACAACCCCCACAGCAGTCCGGTTGCAAAACCCGCGAGAAAGCTGTCTCCGGCGCCAGTAGGGTCCACCTGGACGGCGGGGAACGGCGCAACGCGCGCCTCCCCGCCGTCCCAGTACAGCCGGCACCCGTCCCTCCCCTCCGTGACGATCACACAGCACCACCGCCTCGCTGTTTCCACCCCGACGTATGGCGCCTCCTCCGATGACGCCTTAACGAACGCCACCCGGGGCAGAAGCCGCGCATACGGCGTATCGTCAAGCGCCACGTGGCCGACGGCACCGTCGCCGTCGAACGCCCGGATCAGCGCCTGCGCGTCCACGAGCACCGCGCGGCAGAGCCGGATCATCCGCTCGAGCGTCTCCGGTACCACCTCCCCGGCAACGCCGACGGCGAGGCCGTAGGCGAAGCGGCGGTCGGGAAGGTCGGCGGGGTAGATCGGGTCGCAGGCGCGCACGCGCCGGAGCTCCCGGTCGGGGGCGTGCGCCGAGGCGGCGGTCTCCGAGAACTGGGCGTGGAAGGAGGTGGTCGGCGACGCGCAGACCAGAGGCGGATGCCGCGCGGGCGCCGGCGCGGAGGCGTAGACGAAGTCGTGGCCCACCTTGGCCACAACGACGAAGGGGGCTGTCCCGTTGAGCGCGGTGTCCTGGGGCGAGGCGGCGTCGAGCACGTTGGACACGAAGGCCGCGGCCCCGCCGAGCGTCTCCCCCACTACGCGCCCGCCCCGGATCAGCACATCGTGGCAGTAGCTCCCCACCACCAGTCCCTCAAGCCCGGGCCCTCCCTTCGTCGTGATTAGCAGCTGCTGATTCTCCCCATCCTCATGAGCGTCGTCGGGCTCTGCCGCGAGTGGCATCGCGGCGGCGGTGGCAGCGGGTGGAGGCGCCACGGTTCAGGGCGGTGAGGGAAGCGTGGGGGTCTCGGGGCGGCGAGAGAGAGGAGGTGCGCAACGGCATCGTAGGGGAGGGGGAGATGCGGTGCAGTGGGGAATAAAAGCGCGGGGTCGGGGTGGACGCCGGAGCGGCGACAAGGGGGGCTTTACAGATGCCGCTGACGCGGGGCGTGCGGCGGGACACGTGGTTGCGGCGCACGTTTGAGCTGCTGCGGCGGCGTTGGCAGCTGACGCCGCTCAGCGCGTTGGAATTTGGGATTGTCAAGATCCCTGGTCGTCGCCCTCGTCAGGCCTTGGGAGGCTGGAGGGGCAGTAGCTCTGCTGCTTCGTCCGTCATCATCATGATGATCGCGAGCTGCTTGAGCACAGGTCCTGAGGTCCAATGGTGCCATGTGAGATTTTTCTTTTGTGGATCTATCTGTCTCAGCTTTTGCTTAAGGTCTCGTTTAGTTGGCGAAATTATTTAGAAAATGATACTGTAATATTTTTATTGTTATTTAGCAATTAGTATCCAATCATAGTCTAATTAGTCTTAAAAGATTCGTCTCGTGAATTTCGTCAAAACTATGTAATTAGTTTTATTTTTTATTTATATTTAATATTTTATGTATACGTCCAAAGATTCGATGTGACGAGAATCTTGAAAAATTTTGCAAAATTTTGAAAAGTAAACAGGCACTAAAAGCAGCAGTAACGGTAAATAGTGGCTCGTATGGTTCCAGCTAATAACCTCCAGTTTCGCCACTGCGCCATCAGCGTCAGAATGTGCATCATCAGCCGCCGCCTGGACAATTGGATATATATCCTTTTCTTTAATTCCTGGAAGGCATGTTTCTGATTTCGGAGACTCTATCAGTCTATTCGCTGGTTGGTTTCAGTCAGAGCTTATCAGTTATGATATAATATTTTTCTCTCACAATAAACCAGCACCAATTAGACTTATCAACCTAAAAACCAAACAGCGAATAAGTTGTTTAGCTACTGACGTCATGTCCTTATTATGGAGTATACTAGTAGAAGCCGCGCGCCCCTGCGCACGAGCACAGGTGATCATCTAATCTTATGATCGGTATACCTTATACCTTATTCACGTAAGCATGGCAAACCTGTAGATGTTAATGGATCCTGACAACAGGAATGGATACTATTTTCTTTGCAAGTGCAAGCCTTGAAAACTAAACTATGACAAAAAGGAAAAAAGATTATGAGAACAAAGTGGGACACTGACAGACAGAACCACAAATGTGGTCGGCATAAATTTCAACTGAATCGTGCATTTGTACCGGGAGCTAAATTTGCTTAGAATAAGTGCACACTAAGAGTATTCTGGGTAGCTTTGAGCAGTACCACAAATGAGCTGTAGCAAAAGTTACACTTTAAGCAGGCCATGTTTTAAAACTCTCCTGCATGTAAGGTGGGTCATGGATGGATGTTAACTAAAGTTGCCTTTGCACTCCACTCAGTCCAAAGAACCGCTGTCCGGTCGACCAAGTGTGAAGGTACTGCATCTGCGAAGCACGCAGCTATTTGTACTCAACGGTCTACAATGAGGGAAGGATTGGATCAGTTGCAATGGAAGCTAGTTAAAAAAACAAACTAATCATTACAATGTTGTACGATAACATGTAGCACAATTGAATTTACTCTGTATGTTTCAAGCATAAGATGACCACCGATTTGTTTGTCACATCTACTATGAAGCCCCCACCCTCAAACAATATTATATTGTTGTTATATACATGCACATTGTTTATTGAAGCCCATGTTCTTACATATTAGCACGAAAAGGTAACAAGCAGCTATATATGCACATATGAGCAGAAATCTAGTCAAAACTGTCATGCCCAACTCAGCAGTCTGGATGAGTAATTTAAATCGATATTTTGATTCAATACTTGGTGGAGCTAAATTAGTATAAGTTTGGTTCTTTAACATTTGAGGTGACAAATCTTAGTTAGCCCCAAATACAGTAGACCCAAAAGGTAGTCTAGATACATAGCCAACCATATGTTGTTCTGCTTTTAAGATTGGAAGGACGCCTGCAAA